ATATAGAATGTTTTATCCTTCTATAAACTATCATTTATTCATATACTGAGCAAATATTTATTAAACATTCAGTATATGCTGCATTTCTGCTAGGTACAGGGAAAAGGAGTGAATAAGGAAAACCAGATTATGGCCTTCATGAACTTTATGTATGAATGGGTAATATACACAATAACAATAATGAAATTCATGCTATTATGTAGTCTCTAAAAAAAGTAAATATATAGTATCGTGACCTAAGTCACAGATGGAAGAGTGACTTAGGGAGATTAATCTTTCAGAAGATGATAATTAAGCTAAGTCTTCATAAATTGAATAAAAAAGAAGCTGTCCGTGTGACCATATGAGGAAAGAACACCCGGCAGTTACCAAGTAGAAACTCCCTCAGGTAAGAAGGAGGTGATTGTGCTCCCCAAACACAATGGCCAACATGCAAAGATCTAGAGAGTGGAAAAAAAAATCATGGGAAGTGGTTGGAAGTTGGCCCATCAGGAAAGCATATCGATCTGATTAATCCATAAAAAATAGTTTATATTTTATTGTAAAAAGCTAAGGAAAAGCATTTCTCTCATAAAACATATTTAAATTTAACTTTGGCTTTTATAGAGAGAGTAGATTATAAAGATGTGAGAATAAGCATGGAAACCAGATGGAATGACATTTCTGTAGACCAAGATAAAGATGGTGGTGGCATGGGCTAAGATGTTGACAAGATGGAGAAAAGAATAGAGATTCAAGATAGATTTTTTTTTTTTTTTTTGAGACAGAGTTTATGTTGCCTGTCGCCCTTGGTAAAATGCCTTGGCGTCACAGCTCACAGCAACTTCAAACTCTTGGGCTTAAGTGATTCTCTTGTCTTAGCCTCCCAAGTAGCTGGAACTACTGGTGCCTGCCACAATACCCAGCTATTTGTCATTGTTGTTTAGCTGGCCAGGGATGGATTCGAATCCACCAGCCTGAGTGTATGTGGCTGGCACCCTACCAACTGAGCTACAGACGCCTCTGAAATGATTGACTATTTTGTGTTGCAGTTATCATTGTTTTTTTAGCTGGCCCTGGCTAGTTCAAACTAGCCACCCTCAGTATATGTGGCTGGTGCCATAACCGCTGTGCTACAGGAACCATTTCTGGTGAAATTGATAAGACTTGTTAATGGATGAGGTAGGAAAAACAGCCATTGGTTATCATTAGAATATGACCTTTACAAAAATGGGTATTTTATCTATTGTCTGATTTCCTTATTATTCTCTCCCTAGATGTACTAACAGTGCCTACCACATAATAGATGTTCAATAAATACTGAATGGAGGAATTCTGTCTCCTTCTGCTAGGTTTTTCACTAAAATGACTAGATGAATGGCTGTGTCAATAACTAAAACTGGGAAAGCTGAAGGAGAAGTATAAAAAGGTAGAGATAGAGGAATCAGAAGTTCTATTTTGGCCCTTTTAAAATTTAGATGTCTTCCAGATACCAAAGGAAAAATTGGACATGTGAGTCTAGTCTTTAGGGGAGAGGCTTAGTCTAGAGAGAAAAATTTAGAAATCAACAACACATAGAAGATATTTAAAACTATGACATTTCTTGACATATATAATGAAAAACTAAAGAGTCCCTGAATGACACTGAAAAGAAAACATCTAATCATGGAGATACAGTGGCCCCTCCCTCATCTGCCGTGGATACCTCCCAAGACTGTACAGTGGATGCCTAAATCTTGGCTAATCCCTGTCAAGCAGAACATGTTTTTTGTTCATGTCTTTCACTTACAAATTTAATGCTTTTTCCATCTTAACTAAGCACTTATTAGACCCTGTGGTAATAACTTTTGCAGTTTGAGGTATGACAGCCCAACTAGCATGAATTTATTTTCCTTTCTTTACAATTTCACTAATACAAGATCTATTCTTACCATAGATCTCTCTGCTCTCCCTTTCCCCCACCTTCCACCAAGTACTATATCATTAATTGTCCCCATATCAGAATTGAGTACATAGGATTCTTGCTTCTCCATTCTTGTGATGCTTTATTAAGAAAAATGTGTTCCACTTCCATCCAGATTAATACAAAAGATGTAAAGTTTCCATCTTTTTAATGGCTGAATAGTATTCCATGGTATACATAGACCACAACTGAAAGTTTTTATTTACTATTGTTCAACTGCAATTGACTTTGGGTAACTGATACCATGGAAAGCAAAACAGTGGCTAAGAAGGGAGGACTAAATACATACAATATGCTTATCAATGGCAATTTCTTGAAAAAGTCATTATTCTCTAAAATAACTTAAAATTCAGAACATTTTTAATCAAACATATTTGATCAAAATTATAGTTTTTTTACATGACACTGGATAAGCTGATCCTGAAAGTTATATGAAAGCACAAAAAGTCAAGAATAATAGCAATAATTTAAAGAAAAAGAAAAAAAAAACAAATTGAACCAGTTTGCTTAGAAGATATCAAGACTTAGTATGACATCATACCTATACCTTGTGACACTGCGGTAGGGATAGAGAAACAAATCAAAATAACAAAATAGAAATTCCAGAAATTTCTGCACCTCGAAATGTGTTTTAGTTTGGTTATCAATATATATTTACATATGAAACAACAGTAAAAGAATTATATGCATTTTATGTGTATAATTACATAAACATACACATTTATTCATGCATTATATTTGTGTACAAACTACATGTGCACATGTATACAAAAATAAAAGAAACAGTAAAGAGATAAGTGTGTATGTGCCTATGTGTGTGTTTTTGTGTGTGATAGAATGGTAGAATTTCATATCAATTGAGAAGGTCAACTATTTAATACATGATGGCAGCCTGATTACAGTGTTTAAAAAATGATCCCTACCTCATGTTAGACATAAAAATAGGGAAATGTATATGTTGAATAAAAATACTTCAATACTTTTAAAAGATAATGAGGTAACTATATGATACTTTGTTGGTAGAATATTTTAACAAGGCAAAACCTGACAAACTAGAGTATACGGTATATGCTCAATAAATATTAAAGGAATTAAAAGATGAATCATATGTTTACATTACAGTTCATAAAATCTTCTATGACTAAAATATTTATACAGTTTTAAAAAGACATAATACAGATATTTTTCAGAAACCTAATCAATAATATAAACACATACAATAGTTTTCAATTTTTCTTATGTATTGACATATATCACTATATGGTATTATTATGATATTACCAATAATATAATAAAATATTAAAAAGACATTCCAATTAAAAATTGACCAAAGATACAGACAAGTCATAGAAGAATCATAGAATCAGAAAGCCAAACAGTTAAGGAATATTTGGAAAAAGTTCTCCCTAGTAATCTGAAAATTGCACATTAAAATCATCTAAAAAAGTGACAGAATCAAGAGTTATTCTGTTGTGGAAAGCTGAGAACTTGCATAAAGTGTTAATGGAAGTATATTTGCCTCAACTACTTTAGAGACTGTATTGTGGATTCTGTTCCCTCTGGAGTCTCATAAGAAACTGACATCAGTTGGGAGATCCCAGTTGCAGGCCCTCTAGATTCCACTTCTCCAGCCCATTCTTACATTTTAATCAAAATTAAGTCAGAAGAGGCTGTTTCTCTCGCTGTTTCCTCAGTATTATTAGAGATGAAATTGTCAACAATTTAACACATGCTCTACTTTTAGTATAATGAGAATTTCAGCAGCTGTCCAGAGACTTGAAGTCTCTACTCATGTTATATTTGATGTCCTTACAACATTTGTGCTCTTTATTTGGAAGTACGTACCCCCATGATTTCCAGCTTCTTCTAAGACAAAAGTGTTAAGATTGCCCTATGTGTATCCTGGTTCACAACTCTAAGACCCAGGTCATCTACAGATAATTCTCTAAAATGTGTTGCTCTTCAAATTTTAAGAAACTCCTAAATTCCTGACAAGAATATTTTTTTCAAACCCATACCTTTTATATAAAGGGGAAAAAAGTAATTCCTTTTGCATGACTTGAGATTTCAAAATTAAGAAATGACTAAAAATAAATAGATGAGACAAAACACCTTTTCCTCATGAGATTCCAATACGGCCATTTAGAGAACACCACCGTTTTCTCCACTGGCAGGCCTGCTTGATAATCACCAACACTGTATGAACAGAGTACGTATCCATTCAAATGAACATAGTTATCTTGTCTATAAGGTCATGGAACACAATCTCGTGTTCACACCCTCCTATTCGGTAAAAAAGAAGCTCAGTGATCAGTTAAAAAAAATGTGGCTTTCTAATGTAACTTTCCAATTAATACTGTGGAATCATATTTGAAAGCAAGTCGTTACTATCTCAATTTAATAAAATATCATAGAATTTATTATCATTCATCAGAAAATACTCCCATTAAGTATTCCAAACAAAATGACTTATGGAAAGAAATGGATCATACAATTTCAAGGACTAAAAACATATATAGAAGTTTTCTCTGCCTTTACTGAAGATTTTTCATCATCCTCTTTTGTCCCCTAAATGAACTCCCAATTTTAAATAAATACCTATATAATAGTTAGTTTCACTAACACTGTTTACTCATCTATAAAATTCAGGGCTTTGTGTTATAATATTCCAGGATTTGCAATATAGACTGATTCTTTTTTTCTTGACGGTCTCACAAAACAAGTTCCTTTTACATCTTTTCTTGACTAGCTATCAAAGGAATTTAGATAAATCAATGCATAAAGTTGTTTAATTATCTGGATTCAAAGTACCCATTTTAAATGGTTCTGGTATATTTTCAGGCTACTAGGAAATGTTTAACTCAGACTAACCTTAAATCTCTCAGAAGCATCTAAAATAGCTACCAAAACAGTTCCTTAATAAGGAATAAATGATGACTTTACATTGATTCAGTCTTTCATAAAATAAATATTTTAATATATTTTATGTGTATAAAGGTATAAAGGATTATAAATAATTTTTATAGAACAAATAAAGTAAGTAACTTAGTTACGATACCTGCGGACACAAGGTTTCTAGTTGATTGGCAGCAACTTTGACAATTTTAATTCCATCTTCATTTGCTGACATGGAACAAGCAAGATGTGCCACCTTAAAAAGAATCCGAAATAACAGAAATCATTTTAGATTACTAAGGAAATGCAGAAGCATTTGTTATCCTGGACCAGTAAGAACATGTACACATTCATTGAAAATCTCGGTGACAACATTCTCATAAATGTCACTAGTATCCATTTTATGAAAGGATTCAGAGAATCTATTCAAATGAGTAACAATAAAGGGACCTAGAAAATTGTGTAAAATGAAAGACTGGTGAGTACATTAGTAAACTCTTCTGGTATCAACATCAAACCCATAATAAAAGATATAAGCTATGGGACAGGGAAAAAAAGTTAGACTGAATGCTAATAGGCTCTTGGAATCTCAAAGGACCATGGTTCAAGTTCATAATTGGTTTACTATTTCCCAGAGATCTATTACATATATTTAAGCTGTATTAAATGTGACTGTCTCTTTGTTCCCATTTTATTTACATCATCAAATATACTATAAAGATAGACAAACACAAGATAATTAAATTCTTCCTATTCTTGATTTTCACTACAAGTTCATGGTCACTGTTTGACATGCCAGCAGTGGATTTGATTCCAGCATTAGTGATAGCCAAATATCTTATATATTATCACTTTTAAAATTTACCCTCTTTTCCAGGGAAATAAGTACACTTTTAAATAATAACCATTATGTCCCTTACCTAAATCCAATATTTACAAACACTTTTTTTTTTTAATACCATGAAATAGCCATGAGAAAGAATATGAGATTCTTTTCTCTTCCCTTGAACCCCACCCTTGGTCAACATTTCTCTTGCTAGCACAGAAAGGGGTACGTAAAAAGGCAACGTTTTATCTAATCTACACAAGACATCATTGTCTTTATCATGGCAAGGAGATCTTTAATTTAACAATCATTTTTCTAACTTTCTAAAATATCGGTCAGGTATATACTTTAACACATTGTGGCTTTTACTGTTCAAATCCACAATACATTCAGCCGAGGGGAAACAGCCCATTAGCTGTACGCAATGGATGGACATGAACACATACACAGCTTTGAATCACTACTTGGAGAACCACAAAATGTTATTTAAATAAATTTGTAGTCTTTGCTTGTTTATAGCATTAGTATGTCAACAGTGAAACAATTCCTTGGTTTGCATTTACATACAATGAAATAACAGCCATACATAATTTAACTGTGGAAGGGCATTGCTCATTTTATTAATGTACCTAAAAATGGCTTACTTGAAAAGGTCTTTTGTTGGCTTGAAGGTCATACTGCCTCAACTTTCATATCTGACATGTAATTAGCACATTAGTGAGTTCTTTGAAAAGGTCAACATTTTTTGTGCCCCTCTCTCCTCTCAAACCCTACTCACTGAAAGTGAAACTCAGAAGTCTAATTGCCTTAATATGTATCATATTAATCTTCACTGCACTTGCAGAAATAGCCAGCTATACATGGGTGCTGTTTATTTAATCATGGACTATTCCAAGGCGTGTGCTGTGTTAGTCATGTTTTGTACAAACAAGGTGAAATTTATAATATACTTAGTACAGTGACAAAAAGGAAAACTTAAGTGACAGATATAAAATCTCTTTCCAGTTCTAACGTGAGTGATTTGTGATATATTTTCCAAGCTCACTTCAGTGTGTGAATGAAAGCCAAATTTCTTCTAATGATAATTATCCCTAAGTTCTCTGTGGCACTTCAGGCAATCAAGTATGTTTGCAGGCACAGTAGGATAATAACTTCCTACTGGCCAAAGAAAATAGCATGCAAATAAAATATTTTGAAAAATAATTTGAGATATTTGGACATCGGATATCCTCTGTGTATCTAGCTTTGACAATGTTTCCAAAATCTGGGCAAAGCTCCATTATTCAAGAGATATTGATAGAAAGTTTCTGCCCATTAAGGGAAACGAGGGCATAGGGAGGATTTAGTGATAAACAGATATGGGTTTCAACCTGATTCTCACAATTAATAAGCTTCTGATTCTGGGAAATATATTAATTTCTTTAACCTTGTTTTATAGCCCTTAAAATGGTTATGATGGTGTCCGCCACACCAGGGTGTTTTGCTGTATGTAGGAAATGTTTTATATCTGATAGCCCTCATGATGTATAAATTTTCTTCCAATTAGCCTGTCAACTAATGGGGGGAACATATAACCTTCAGTCTCTTTGTTTTGTAGAATTAAAGTCTTGAGAGCCTAAGAAATTTAACATTGTGCCTTCTCTATGAGCTGCAAACGCATGTGCTTTTAATAGCTATTCAGGCAATACACATAGTCTTTATTAATAACTCAAAGGTAGGGTGTGGTGATGGGTCTCCAAGAAAAATAACTGTGAACTCAATAAAACAAGATAAAAGGAAAAACTCACTTCTTTAGTCAAACCATTGGATTACTTTAGTCTATAGATTACTAATTTGTAACCTCCGACTCCACTCCAGGATCCTCAGACCAGTGGTTCTCAACCTTCCTAACGCTGCAATGTATTTTCATTGTTACAAAGGGGTCACGACCCACAGGTTGAGAACCAGTGGTATAGACAGAAAAAAGTTTTCAACAGGGAGAAGAAATATACTTAAATGAGAAAATAATATGGAGACTAAACTATCCTGAATTAACAATCTGCATTAAAGTATTGAAAAGGATTCTTGCATTGAATGATCTGACTTTTTATTGATATTGTGTTATATCCTTAGTCAAGTTTAAGAAAAGCATAGTCTAAATTATCCCAAAGACATTTAGATAAATTCATGCATTTATTTAAAAGAAAATGCTGGAGAAATGTTATTCTTTTTTATTAGAAGTCTCAATTACATCATTAAAATAATTACCAATACCATAATAATCAAAAACAAAAAGTGTTTAAGCAGTGATAAGTTGTCACGTTACTGTGGGAGGAATGAGGCTTTCTGTCACATCCTTCTCTTGCACCTCTCCCATTCTCACCAGTCCTTCTGCTCTCTAAGATGTATGTAACATTCCAGGCCTTTTAAAAGTGGATGACCTTATTGCCCTATGTAGCCCATAAAAAAACATCATAGGTAATAAATCCTGGCTAGACAATTCCTGACCTAAACAATCCTATTAATGTTTATTCCCTTATTCCTGTTTCCTAGTTCAAGGGTTGTATACCAAATAGAAAGAATGTGTACCAATAGAAACCATACTGGTTGCTAGGCTTTGGGGTCCTCCCTTTGACTCACCAGAGAACATGGTACCCTTTACTCCCCTGCCCGTGGCCTTGGGTGAGAAATCCCCTGCTCTCAACCTGGCCTTGTAAAATTTTGTCACCTAGGCTACTTCTGTCCTTCATTCTCAATCAAAATAGGAAGATGGCCATACCTGACCCAAAAGAACACACTAGCTGCAGAACCAGAGATGGCTATAAAATGGATATTTGAGGATTGGAAATTTCCTCTGGACCCTTAAAAAACATGCCATTCTATAGGTTGACTCTGTTTTTCATCATTACTTTCTTCTAATCTGGTAAAGAAACTGTTTTAAATGCATCGAATATTAGAACATACTGTCGTAACATTCCAATTTCAAGTTTTATCTAAAATTTCAGAAGCACTACTTGTCCTCTCAGTCTTCTTAGACAACCGAAATGGAATCATTCCTAGTACGCTATTTGGACAGCTGCTCATCATGCATCACTCGGTCTGCCATTAAGAAGTTCGCACATAGATATTTACCTGTGATATGATTTTTCAAGAACATGAAGCAAATTGTGATGTTTGGTGAGATTTGCATTGTTGTACATTGCTTGTTTATATATCACTCACATAGTTAATTGTAATATCACGTCACTGCATATCCTGGCTCTTGATGAGCATAAAATGTCACTGTCTCATTTTCATGCATTTTCCCCTCTGGTAGAGAGTCATCCAACTCCTACGTAAACACTGCCCGAGACAGAGAATTTACTGGTGTTCAGGGCAATCTAGTCCCACTACAGGATAGGCCACAGTTGCAAAGCTACACAAGTTATAATGTTCTCTCTAAAAGGAGGTGACAACTTTCTTTCAGACCTTTTTCATAGAAATCATAGAATTCAGAATATTGTATTCAATAACAGAAATAACACCGGACTCACAAAAAGATTGTATCAATAGTCCTCAACTTAGGGGAAAAGGAAGATGATGAGAACAACAGAATCATCAGTAAATAACTATTAAAAAGAAAAGTCTGGCTCCCTTCTGCCAAGATATTCTGATATATTAACTGTGTAAATGGGTGGAAGTTGGTGGTATAAGGGATGTAGAATTAGATTTTTTTTATTACTTCAAAACAGATTTTTTTATACATGTGTTTATTAGGTTTCTACCTTTTGCCTTCACAAAATTAAAAAGGCTTAAAATTTAATAACAATGTTTAGGATAAAGACTAGAAATAAAAACCTCATAAAGTAGAATCAGATTTTTTAAAGGTCCTCCTTGTATTTCTAATATACCCTTTTTCCCATCCCCAGCACACATAGTCAAAATAACACGTATATACACACTCAGATGTTAGTCGACACTTGCTTGGATAGACTTTCCTTCCTGAAGATAAGTCTCATGAAACAAAAGTCTACAAAAGTTTGGCCTAAATATTTGTGGGAGAGGATAGGAAATCAGACAGAAGTCTTAACAAATTGGAGGAAAGGCAAGATAGAATGACTTCAACTACTACCCAAGTAATAGAAAAGAGTTTAAAATTAAAATATCTAGGAAATACGAAAATCAAGCATAGGGAAACTTTCCGGCCTTCCCCCAGAAACCGTTACTTTTGGTAGTAATGCAGATTGTCCTCTGGAAAACTGACCTTTTTTCCTTTATCCCAGTGGTGTGAAGTCCTGTCGTGACTGTTAATCAAGACTCCTGGTATTCCCCAAACTCTAGCCTGGGAAAATTCAACACTTCCTCAGCCACAGACAGTTGTGAAGCACAATCTCAGCCCTCTTCTTTCGTTTTTACTTTATGTGCATTATCTTACATGTTCCAACAAGGTTTCGTTTTATTTCCTGCTCTGC